CACACATCATGCAATATTTGGGACGAGCTTATACTATATAAGAAGGCTTCGTTTCCTAAAACCTTAATTTAGAAAATTAAAAAAAATGTAGGGTGCTCACACTGCCTGAATTTCAGAGAGTTAGCAAGACACTCTCCAGGACACGGATGTCCCGATGGTGATGCGAGGTGTTTCTTACAGAATTTTTGTTTCTTACATGTTGATGCATCGTGGCTACCTGTTTTCAGGCCTTCAGCTTCATTCCAGGATCAGAGTTCACTTGAACACCCACGGAAGAGATGCAGAAAGGTTTCAAAGGCTTTGTGGTGAGTGGTGACTGCTTTAATTAAAGTTCATATTGAAACTGAATGTGTGTGTGCGCACGCCCATCTGATCTCTGTATGTATTGATCCCAGGCACCTGGAAGTGATGTTTTTCTCGTTCATAAAATGGAGGCGATGGGGAGGAGCTAACCCCAGAAGACGATGAGAAGAATACAGTGGCCTGGAGACAATGTACCCTTCTGCAAACTGCAGGCGGTTTCCTACTCAGGCCGGAGAGAAAGCAGAACCTGATGTGATTGGTATAGAGCCGTGAGAATACGGGTGTGGCAGAGGCGGTGGAAACGGCAGGTGAGGAGACACGTGTAAGAGCAGGATGCGCTCCGAGAGCACACAGGCGCTCTCTCTGGAAGGTTCACTGAAGATGCAGGTTTCTGTCCCACCAGGTCCTGCCTCCCGTCAGTCCCAAATAAGCACACAGAGACATACTAATCATTAAACTGTTGGTCGATGGCTAGGGCTTCTTATTGGCTAGGTCTGTCTTAATTATTAACCCACGACTATTAGTCTATATATTTTGCATGTGGTCTTGGCTTACTGGAGAATGCGTCTCTTCACCCTCTCTCTCTCTCTCTCTCTCTCTCTCTCTCTCTCTCTCTCTCTCTCTCTCTCTCTCTCTGCCTTCCCTTTTCCAGCATTCTCCTCATCCCTAGCCCACCTCCCTTCCTGCCTCTACTGACCAATCAGTCAGTATTTCATTCGTCAACCAATAAGAGAAACATATATACAGAAGGACATCCCCCATCATCAGTTTACAAAGAAAAAAACATACACTGGAGAAGTCTCTGCAGGGGAAAGATGAAGAGCTCTGTCTCCTGGTTCTGGTTGAGGGCTGCCTCCTCCAGCCCCCCGCTTGACCTTTCAGAAAGCCAGGGGCCATATCCCAAGTTTTACATTCCCTGTTATCTTGCACCCAGAAAAACCTCAACTCAGAGGGAGAAAGAGATACAAGGAAGCAAGTCTGAGAAGCTGTGTGGGCCTCGGGTGTAACATGTTCATTTCCAAAGGCACCTCCGCCACCCAGCAATGGGAATGAGAACATGGAATCTGCATCTGCATCTTCTGCACCACAATAGTGCTGACATGGCTGGCTGTGGGACATCTGTGCAGGAGACAGCTTTTGGGTTTTTTTCCCTAGAACCTGAAATGCTGTTTATTCTGCTGCCTGGTCCCCAGCCCTACAGAGGACTGCTCAGGGGATGAAGCTTGAATTCTACAGTTTTAGGATATTTTTCTCTCCACAGACTTTTGTGACACAAAAATCAGAGTGGGGAGACCCGTGACAAGGCTTCTGTATCACTCTAGTGTGCGGGGGTGGGGGGTCATGCCCTACAGACTCCCCAGTGTCTATGCACACCTGTGTCTTGAGTTCCAATCTGGAGCTGTGACAGAAAGAGAGCAACAGAGAGGAAACAGCCATGCTTCACTGTTCAAAGCCCACCAAGGCCCTGCTAGAAAGTATCCCTGCCCAGAAGCTACTCCAAAGGGAGAGGATGGGTGGATTGATACACAGATTGCCAAAGAGCCGTTTGTTTTAGTATTGGGGGATGCCAACATTCACTGAATCTTTCATTGGTGCAGGTACAGCTCTGTGTCTAGCATAGTGCCGAGGACTTGAAGAGACAGATTAACAGTACATCCTGTAAGAGATAGATGCAAACATGTAGACATATAGCTATCCATTTAATGGATACATTTAGACATATAGCTATCCATTTAATGGATACATTTTAGCATATTTGAATTCATATGAGTATCCAGGGATCCATAAACAACCTCAAACTTACATGCTAGAGGTGACAATGTACCAAGGACCCTTTATTTCAATAGGTCACAGTCTTGGCTATTCCCCAGAACCACACAGAACCATACTTCTACCTGGTGCTCACTCCTATATATTCCTTTTTTTCAGATTTTTTAAAATTTAAATTAGAAACAAGCTTGCTTTACAAGTCAATCCCAGTTCTCTCTCCCTCCCCTCCTCCCCTGCCCCTCACCCACTCCCTGTCCCATCCCCTTTCTGCTCCCAAGGGAGGGTGAGGCTTTCTATGGGGAATCTTCAAAGTCCGTCATATCATTGGAGCAGGGACTAGGCCTTCCCCTGTGTGTCTAGGCTGAGAGAGTATACCACTATGTGGAGTGGGTTCCCAAAGTCCATTTGTAGACTAGGGATACATACTGATCCACTACCAGAGGCCCTATAGACTGCCCAGGCCTCCTAACTGACACCCACATTCTGGGGGCCTGGATTGGTCCTATGCTGGTTTCCCAGACATCAGTCTGGGGCCCATGAGCTCTCCCTTGCACATTCCTAGATATTCTGATATTACTCTCTGAAGTACTGGCAAGACATAGCAATGTACATTACAGGCTGATAATAGGTTTTATTTAGATCCTAAAGGATCCCACTGTGTTCCAGTGGATTTCTCTGGGAAACCAGAAAGACTCGGATTCCTACGGGGCCAGCAGGGGCAGCCACAAGAATTAACATGGCCCGTTGACAGTTGACACAGGGAGGACTCGTGTGCACCAGGGGTTCCCCTTGCCCCGGTGTTCATCCAAGAGAGCTGAAAACGGTTTTCTGTGCCGCATCAGCTGTATTTAAGCTGCCCTGGTGAGATGCCAGGGTAGGAAGTTTTGCCAACTAGTTCCATCGAGCTAACAAAGTTGCTCTAGACAGCCATGAACTTTGCGTTGTTCTCGATTATCTGAGCATTCCCCTACTGGGCTGTAGAGCTCCGAGTACCTCTGTCCCATGGCCTGCTCCTGCCCCAGATGGGTGGTGTGTGAGTTTTTGCCCCAAAGGACGACAGAGATTTTACAATTGCAGATCAGTATGTGGCTTCTCGAGGCCCAAGGGCTCTGAGCAGGTGCGTGGACATCTCCCCAGCAGCCTGTGAGTTCATGTTGGCGGATTCGACAACAACGGCTCCTGCCTTTCAAACAGCGAGACCCGCTAGTCATATCAGGCTGGAGCAAAGATGCAAACTGTACACATTCCTGCAAAGGCCCTACTGTGTTCCTGTGCCCGGGCCCAGCTGGCCTCCTGGCTGATCTCATGTGGCCTTTGAGTAGTTGAATCTTTGTGTCCCTCCAGGCAGCTGGTGGGAGAGGCTCTTCCTCGAGCCTCTATGTATTAGTTCTGCATTACCATGACATGAACGACCAGAAACGTAGTTATTTAAGCAATGTCCACCAAGAGACGTGACAAAGGAGAAATCTGCCTTCGTGCTTGCTCGAGGTTAGCGGAACTCCTTTCCTAGTGACGGTGCCCGAGGACCCTGCATTTTAGTGACTGCTGGCACCTGTCACTGCCCTGGGGGTCCCCTCCCAAATAGCAGCTTACCTCCTCAAATCAACACAGGGGCCATCTTTCTTCTCCCCCTAAATAACCCCATCAAGGGCGTGACATCTTCCTAACAGAGTAGTGTGAGCAGCCTTTGTCACACAACGCAGCCCAGCCAAGGGAATGATGGAGCCGTCCTTGACAGTTACATCGGGGTGTGCCTGCCACACTCAGCCACTTCCTTTCTGTATCTGACACTGAGTTCAGGATTATTTCCTCATTACCGATTCTGGACAGGACTGGGCTAGCCCTAAACTTTTGTCACTGACCCCAGACGGCTTCCTGCTGCTTGTCCTGCACTGGCCCCTGCAGATGACCCTGAATATAAATATTTTTTTGTCGGGCATGCAGCCTTGGCAAGCACACACCCTTTAACAGCCCAGGAAAATGGAAAGGTGACGTGTCTTATCTAGGCGTCAGAATTCTGAGCCTGCTCTGCCCTCCTCGCCCTGCTGACAGTCCTGCCTACCCACCAGAGCAGCAGTGAAAAGCAGTCCGTGGAAAAGCACTTTGAAGGCTACTGGTGTCAACGTTTAAGCATTTTGCTCGTCAGGATCACGGGTTCCTGGTTTCCCCCAGCAAACATATCCCTCACTTGCATCTGCCCTTTCAAAAGCCCACACTTGAGGCAAAATTCCCTTTACATAGCTTTTGTGGATGCATCACCAAGTGTTAAGCCTTTAAAAGTATTCCTTGTGCAAAATCCAATGTGCAGCGCACCAGGCATAAACGCAGGGAAGGCAATCAATGGGGGAGAGGAAAAAAACCCCTTTAATCTCCCTTTGTTCTTTTCTTCTTTCCCTGCCTGATTCCTATTTAGACCTGAGGTTTCCATAAATGTGTTGCTCACCCCAGAAGAAACAGTTTCTTTGCAGACCTCCCCCCACCCCTGTTTCCAAAAACGCAGGGCAAAGCAAGCCTCCTTACCTCTTCACCCTAGCACCCCCCTGCTCCCCCACACAGCTCAGCACCCTCTCCAGCTTGAATGGAGAGCAGTGGGTAGCTGAGGCTGCTGGAAATGACTGAAGGTGAAGGGGGGAGGTTGCTAGGACTCAGGCTCCCATGGGTCTCCACTGTGGACAAGCAGCAGACAAGATCTGGACCTGGTCATGGTCAGGCCCCCACTTGCTGCATAACCAGCGTTATCCTCAGGACACCAAACAGTCGCATCATTGTCCGGAAGCCTGGGGTTTATCTCTGACTACTTAAGACAATGAGAACAGAGATCCCCACATCCCTCTGGCACCAAGGCTAACAAAGCAGGGATTCCTCCTCCCTCTCACCGCCTAGTACTTAACAGATAAGCAGCCGCGACTCTAGTCACTAGATCCTACCTTGGGGGCTCTAATTTGCAGTGTTCTCACAGGCTGTCCTGCAGTCGCGGAGTGTGCACCTTCTCCAAGAGACCGGGACTGGAAGCCTAATGGATCCTGGTTACCTGAAACTTAAAGGAATGAATGTATGTAAAATATTGCCACCGGGCCTGGCCTAGACAGCCCTGACCAGCAGGATGATGGGGGATGTCCTTTTGTATATATGGTTTCTCTTATTGGTTGATGAATAAAATAGTTTGGCCAATAGAGGCAGGAAGATAGGAAGATGGGTGGGACTAGGAGATGAGAATTCTGGGTAAGGTATACAGAGGGAGGGAGGGAGAGAGAGAGAGAGAGACAGAGAGAGAGAGACAGAGAGACAGACAGACAGACACAGAGATAGAGACAGAGACACAGAGAAACAGACAGAGAGACAGAGACTACAAAGCAAAGAGATGCCAAGTAGCCGCAAAAGTAGCAACAGGTCTGGGCATTCTCCCATCAGCCAAGGCCATGTGGAAATACATAGATTTATAGATATGGGTTAATAATTAAGACAGAGCTATCCCAAGAAGTCCTAGCCATTGGCCAACAGTTTTATAACTAATATGGGGTTTGTGTGCTTATTTGGGGCTGAGGGCGGCAGGACCTAGGAGGGACAAAAAAATAAATAAAAAACAAACTACAGCAACAGCAGGATGTCCTACAAAGATGGAGGTCTGTCTGGGGGGGAGGGGCAGCAGCACCAGCCACATGTGTCCCCTAACCACTAAGACCTTGGGTCTTGCTCTTTGAACACTTTCTCAGGCACAAGGTGATGTGATTTCAAGAACCCGACGTTCTCTGGGGGAGGGGGGTGAGGGTCACCCTGTAACGGCAGGGGAAGCTGTGGTACAGAGCAGGTGCCTCAGCTCCCAAAGCCTTGCCCAACTCCCCAGTGCACCCTGGGAATATCAGAACCTGGGCGGTGAAGGCCACTCATGGCATACTGGAGTCTACTCCTCCCGGGCTGGCTGCCGAGGCATCCCACCAGTGTGACGATTTGATTGAAGGAAAATAAAGAACCGTCTTCATACGCACACACACACACACACACACACACACACACACACACACACACCCATGGGGAATAAGAATCATCCATGCTATGCTACCACCCCCGTTCCCACTCAAAACAGAACTTCTTTCAGAGAGGGATGGGATCACAAACCAGGGTTCGAGAGGGGGAACAAGAGACGGTGCCCGGAATATAGAGCAACAGATGCTGGGCAGAAACAAAAGGACTAGTAGAGGGGGGACAAAGTGCCATGCTCACGCTAGAGAAAGACAGTCCAATGGAGAATTCCCTCTGCTTTCCTGGAGACCATCACATCACGTGTACAGAGGTTTAGAGTGTGCCGCCTTGCTCATTAGCAGCCTTTGATTTAGAATAACTAATTCTTTCTGCGGGGTAAGTAGAAAGGAAGACAGATTTCATTCGTTACATTATTATTCTTGTGGGTAACCCCCCACGGAGCAGGCAAGTAGGGTGAGCAGCTTGCTGGCTGGCCAATGTTTTATATTTAACTCGCTGACGCTGGGCTCCCCCAGTCATCCATACACTGACTATAAGCCTCTGGAGGGCCTGATGCATGAAGCTCTCAACTCAGAGCAATGCTGTACAAGTAACAGCCATGAACCACGGGAGGCTACTTCAACAGTAACGTTTCAAAGTAATTAGAATCCGTGAAAAGTGAAAATTCTATCCCACCCAAGCACCTGTAGAGGGCCTGTCTCTCACTGTGGTACATTTCTTTGTACAGTGTTGCTCTGGGCAAGAGTGTTCGTGTAGCATAGCTAAAAAAGCGTCTTTCTTTGAGCCCCATGACTTGTACCTGAAAAGGCAGAAGCAAGTTCACCCCATTTCCATTCCTACAGACACACGGATGTCACCGGACATTCCAATCTATCACTCACAGTTAAAAGCGAAAGCGATGTCTTCCCAAGTCCCTTTGGAGAGCTTTGAGTGTTCCCTCTCTGGGGCACTGGTGACATTCTCAGAACTTAGTCACAGTCCAGAGCCGCCATGTCTTTTGTGTCCTGAGACTCAGTCATTGCCCATGGGTGACAGAACATGGGGGTCTATACTCAAGGTGGGTACTGACAAAGCCTTGTTGCCAAAATGGGTTAGATTTGGGGCAATTACAGCTTGCCCCCGGGGAGACTTGGTCTATAGAAGGCAGTGACGAGGAAGAGTCACACGGTGAGGGGTGCAGGTAACGGAGATGTCTAGCTGCTCACACTGTTGAAGGCGAAACGAGCTTGGGGCTGAACCGCCTGGGGAGATTCTACACCGATGGGTTATCCTGATAATGGGTGGCCGTTCCCCTTCATTTTCCCAGCAACGACATTCCTTCAGTCGGCTGCTACTTCTGAGTCGTGAGTATGATGCCGCCACCATGGGAAGCCATTATCCTCTTTAATAGGAGTCAGCTGCGGCATGCCCGCACAGACTTCTAGAAGCTGCAGGACCAGAACAGACTCATTTAAGCTCCACCTTAAAGATACGGGCACTGCCACACACACAATGGGTGGAAGCAGACAAGAAGAGGGGGGACCCTTGTTCATTCCCATCCTGGCCTGGACCAGGGTCAGCTGCCTGTCCATATGATGCAGCAAGTCCTTCACAGGAGGACAACTGCCCCTGAGGTTACACTAATGATGCTTCCTAATTGTTAGGTGTCTCCAGACAGGCTTGCTGCAACGCCCCCTCCACCCACGAGGGAATCACTGCCATCCATCTCACAGCAAGGTCAAAGCGAGGTGACGTTGCAAACTCACACGAAGTGATGGCTTGCAGTGAAGCCAGGTGACCAGACTACTGCTTTAGGTCTCTATGGATCTCCCGGCCAGTGTCCTATCAATTCATGTGTTTATCTGCCCATCCCCAGTCACTTAGTTTCCCTGCTCTCCTGATGCTGTAGTGAAGAACACAGGCTCCAAGACACACACACCAGTTCTTCTGTGACCCACCTGTGTGTTTATATAAAAAGCCCTCCTATCCATTCTATAAATAAGGTTGTTTTGCTACTTGGCACCCACTGAGAGCCATCAGAAACAAAGACCAGGGTCAGGTGGAGTGGTGTACCCCTTTCATTCCAGCACTCAGGAGGCAGAGGCAGGAGAATCTCGGCGAGTTTCAGGCCAGGCTGGTCCCCATAGCAACTCCAAGATAGCCAGGACTACATAGAGACACCCTGTCTCAAAAACAAAAAAACATAATTATCATGAGGAGGAGAGAGGGGGGAGGGAGAGAGGGAGGGAGGGAGGGAGAGGGAAAAAGAGAGGGAGAGAGAAAGAGTGGATCGCAGGTGGGTGTGCACCCCTACACTGTAACATAGCACATCGATATCATTTATCAGAAGCCTGAGACTTCCAATCTGTTGTGAAGGTCCTGAGAAGTCCTGCTCATGGAAACACCAGGAATAATGTAGGTAGCGTTGAACAAGACCCACCATGCAGAGGAGAGAGGTCTGGAAGGCGAGAGGCAATCGCCTGAGAGGAAGCCCCTCTCCAACATCTGTACTAGCCTGGCCTGTCTGGTTCTTTTCAGATCTTCATTGCCAGGTTCTTCTAGACAAAAGATTGAAAAGCCGTGGAAGGATAGACTGGAGTCAGGAAGGGAGACCCTCACTGCTGTCCGGTCAGTCATCAATATATCGCTTACATCACCCTGGGGGCCTTCTATCTTAAAAGAAAAAAAATGAGGAGACCTAAAATAGCACCAGCTTCTTCTGGAAGAGACTGATGTAGGATACGGTAGAAAAGACCAACTGTCACAGGCAGACTTGTTGATTTACTTAAAGCGCTGCTTTGCTCGCACTGCTATGGAACAGAGGGGACCTGGAGAAAGAGCTGAAACAATGGGCCGTGGCCCTGTTGGCCTCTGTAAAATCTTGCCTGCCTGCCTGCCTCACCTTGTGGTTTAGAGTATAAAAGGAGCGTACAAACCCAACCGGGGGATTGAAGGCTTTCAGGAGCTGCACTGGCTTCCATTACTGGCGACATCTCTCCTCGGTGTCTATTCCAGCAGGACACCTGGATCATGGCCACATGGGGGAATCCTTGGTGACCAAAGAAAACAGACCAAAGGGTGCCGACAGACTCAGGATCTGGGAGACCAGGACCTTGCCCTTCCAAGGAGAAAGGGCAATTGTGGGAACACCAGACCTTGAGCAGAGACCCACTTCCCCTTCTGCCTGGGAGTAGGCAGCTATAAGACAATGTTTAGTAAAAACATGTTTACTAAAAACGATACAGTAAGTTCCTGGAAAAGGCCTTCCCATGGAAACTGCCCTGACCTCGACCTTGTCCAAAGACTACCGCACCTTCAAAACCCACACACATCCACCTCTGGGGTCAGAGCAGAACCAGCCAGGGGAGAAGAGAGAGCAGAAGCTTCTCTGGTGGGAGCCTTTCTTAGGAAGTTTTCTTGAACCTTTTTTGGAGCCTGTTTAAAGTTTTCTTTATATCGTTGAACGAGTCTCTGTGTTGTCAATCCCCGACACCCTCCGCACGTTCTCGGACACAGGTCGAGAAGCAGACGCGACAGGCAATCGATTCGGTGCTGTCCTTGGAGAAGGGTCAAAGGGAACCCTACTCACTAGGGCATCATCTCACAGCCTGAGATACCCAGAGTTGTCTGTCCCCGTGCCTGTGTAATTTTATTCTATGTGACAATAAGGGGACACAGAACACATTCACTCTCTCCCCATCAGAGCAGGAAAGGGTAGGTGCTACTGTAAGGATTCAGGCGTTATGCTGGCCTGACCCTGTCACCTGGCAGAATGCACTCAGGCAGTGCCCTGGTCAGCCCGGGGTTCCGTGAGTACTTGTCTGCACGCAGGTGCAAAGGACCCCTTTAAAAGACAGACCCCGCCGCCCACTTACGCTCTTTGCTCTCTTCTCTTGCTCTCTCCTCTCTTACCTTTCGCTCTCCCCCACTCTATCCCTTGTCTCTCTCTTCATCCGCCTTCTGCTCCCCCCCCCGTAATAAACTCCATGGTTAATGTATCTCCTAGTTCATGTTCCATCGTGATCATACAGTATCTAATTTAAAAAAAAAAACAACAGCTATCCTTGGAGCATAATT